GCGAACATGTCGACAATTTGCTCCACCAACTGAACAAGACCAAAACAACCTAACACTTGTGTTTCTTCGAGCAAGAAACATTTTGATCTTACAAATCTGCAAAGCAAACAAGAAAAAGTAGATACGAACATGTATGCATTGTGACAAATGTTTGTCCTTCGTTTTTGCTAAAATGCTATGCATACGACAAACTAACAATATGCAAAGCTTTGTAGAGTGAAAAAATCATGGCCATTGCAGCCAGCGGCGGAGCTGCATGGGATTGAGTGGGGGCTACCGCCCCACTTAAATTTTAAAAAAAAAAACATATTATTTTTAAAGATTTTAAAATTTTACACTTAAATTGTTATTGAAATAATATATTTTTTTATTAAAATAAATATACTTTTTTATATGTTCTCATTAAGATAATTTATTAAAAAAATTTAATATACACTTCTATTAAAGTAAAATATTGGTTCCGCCGCTAATTATAGCACTACAAGAAAATGAGAATGGATAGTTACTAGTAGAATCAACCGAAAAAAGGGGGCTCAAGATTTGGTGGAGTATTTAGGAAGGTTAGCTATGACCAACCTCTTAACCTTGAGACTTGGTGCGATTCCTAATCATTTTTCACCCACTCCATGTAAATATTTTTCTTCTACGTATATGTATAAGTATAACCGAGTGAATATTCTTCTAAAAAAAAGTAAAAAAAAAAAAAAAAATCCTGGTGCCTAAACCATGAGGTCCCATCCTAAATCTTTCAACAAAACACTCATGATGGAGGGTGCTACCGTGCTAGTTAGGTGTACATACGCCCCAGCTACCAATTTTTCACTTTTTTTTTTCTGGCCCCTCCCCCCTTGTTTTCTTTTCTTTTTCTTTAAGCCAGTGCATGTTATTTAATTTTTTTTTTCTAAGACCAGAGAATTTTTTTATAGGATGAAAAATTATATAAATATTTATGATTTCTTTTTAGAATTCATTTTTAATTAAACCAGCAAATCAACAGTTACAAAAAACGAAACAAAACGGGGAATAGATCCACATCCGCTCCACTCTATACTCTATAGAAGAATGAAAAGCATTGCAGGCTAGAGCATGCGCCACAGAATTCCCTTCTCTAGGCACGAAACAACACTTTCAGTCGGCATCAGACAAGAATATGGATATAATGGTTGCGTTTAGAATTGATTTCGTTTTTATTTTTTACGTTTTTCAAGAAAGAATAAATAAAAACGTTTTTAAAACGGTGTTTGGCGTAATAAAGATAAAAAATGGAGAAATGAAAAACGATTTTTAGTCGTTTTTCATTTTTCATTTTCATTTTCTCATCTCTCGAGCAAAAAGAGAGATAGAGAAACATTAATGGAGTTTTTTATACTGAAAATTATCTCTTGATAAAACTATTAAATACATTTTTAAAAATAATTTTTGTCTGAGATTAAAAACGTTTTCATTTTCATATAAAAAATAAAATTATTTCAAAACGAGTTTTAAACTTGTCCAATATCTTTAACAAGCACACCATCCTCCCCGAGCGATGGGCTGGAATTGATAGCTTGTACAAGTTTTAAGGCATCAACTTCAACAATATTAACTCACAATCCTATATCGCATGCCACGCTGTCTATCACCATCGTTGCAACGACTACGTACAGCTGAGCAGTTCTGCTCACTTCACCGATTCGAGTTTAGAATTTGAGTTTTGTTACAGTAAAAAGTTCTCAGAAATAGTCACATCTAACCTTTTTTGCTACAGTAAAAAGCTCTCATATAAAATCACATATCAACTCGAATCAGCGAAGTGAACGGGCCCACCTCTACATTTAAGAGAAGCAAGACTCGGTATAATCTCATTTACAGCTCTTCAAATGAAGTTTTTTATCTTTTTTTTTTATAATAACTTTTTCGTTTTAATTCTGATTGAGATGATTTTTTTTAATGCGTTGACAACGAAAAGACGAATAAATCCTACCCATATACCATATTAAATTTTTTCATCAGCATTGAGTTTTTATTAAAATACTATCTAAATACAAATTCAAGTTTTGACCCACTCAAACACAAACTCAAAGATTCTTATCTCAAATCATAACTTAAATGTACACAACTAAATACAAACTCAAGTTACAAGTTTAACTCAAATTATAATTCAAATTTAACTCAAGAATTATATTTAAGTTAAACTCCAAAACAAGCCTGAAGTTTTTTACTTTGTTCGAAATATGTAGATTTCAAAGGTTGACCCACCATTCCTTATTACCTCTAATCGCCGATCCACTATCCACCTCCTTTCCGGACAGTATATATACCCTTCGCATCATAATGCCGCATCATCTCATCGTCACACATAATGGCTTATCAAAATATTCCTATTTACTTCATGGTCAATAGGATAAAAAAAATAGTATGAATGTGTTTAGAATTCGTTTCAAAATAATTTTATTTTTTATATAAAAATAAAAATAAAAATATTTTTAATCTCATACATAAATTATTTTTAAAATGTGTTTAGTAATTTTATCAAGAGATTATTTTTATCATAAAAAACTCATTAATGTTTCTCTCTATGCTCGAGAAAGAGAGAGAGAGCACGATTAAAAGTCATTTTTTTTATTTATCTCTCATTTTACACTAAATTAAAAAATCATTTTCATTTCTATTTTTTATCTTTATTGCGCCAAACGCCGTTTTAAAAATATTTTTATTTTTTCTTTCTAAAAAAATGTGAAAAAATGAGATCAATTCTAAACACGGCATATGAATAAGTGTGGAGTTCTAGCTTCTGTTAACTGTCAAATCATCTACACACCAATTACACACAGTTATGTTTTAATTAAATACCGTCTATTTCGCTGATTCGAGTTGAGATGTGACTTTATATAAGAGTTTTTTACTGTAGTAAAAAAGAGTTAGATGTAACTGTTTCTGAGAGCTCTTACTAACAAACTCAAATTTTAAATTCAAATCGGTGAAATAAACGAGACCTAAGTCTCTTTGAAATTTCACATATTTTTTTACTTTAAAAAAATGCACATATTTTTATAGTTTTATTTTAATTAAGTTACAAGTTGATGTTTTAAAACTAAGTATGACAATTTTTTTCGTCAACTCATTTAGCCGCAAATATCAGTATTAAACAGAGTGAGAAAAATCAACTCCATACGGTTTTGGGTTATAAACAAGTTAAAATTTTAACACGTCGCATGTCGTGGGGCGGAGATGGGCCTTAAAGGTCTCTAACCAGCCTTGACAGTAGTACTAATTTATGACCGTTGGATTTGATTAAAATTACGTCAAAATCACATCTGATTGAAAAATAATGCAGAACATACAATTTTTGATACATGTCTAATAATTGAAAGTAAAAATTGTTCATTTTTTTGGGTCCTATCGTTCTTAAAATAAAAAAAAAACTTAAAACAAACACGTTTTTTTTTTTTTATTTAATTTACAAAATCTATTAATACTTTCAAAATTGTAGTAATGTTTTTAACCCACAAAAAGGGAGTTTCTCTGATAAGACTATAAAAATTAAATTGTTAATAGTTATCTATTTTCAGCCGTCAGATTTGCACCACAAACTGTCTATTTTGCATACCTTTTCAATTCGATATAATTTTATTCTGATAACAATCATGAGTTGACACTATCAGTACGACTGACCTACTAGAGACACTCCTCATAAAAATGGTGCTACTTTAATTGCAAGGATTTCTCCCATAATCATGGGAATATGGAACTATCTTTAAATAAAAGGTACTAAAACGATGATCATATCATTGATTTGCCATTATAATCTTATTTTGTCAACTTCACTGTTTTTAGGGTTAATTTATCAAACCGTAAAGAAATATCATGGAAAACGTAATGAGATTAAAAAAAAAATTAAAGTAATATGACTAAAGATCATTTATTCATTTTTAAGTATTTATTTGACTATTCAATGGTGTAATGGGAAACAATCTCATTCATTTTCTTAGGTTTACTAACATTATGAATAGCAATGTTATGAATGTAATCAATAAAATGCCATTTTACATAATTTGATAATTATTGACTATATAGTAATTTATTAAAGATAGATAAGTAAATTTAATATTTATTTATTTTGACAAGTAATTAATACTAAAGGGAGTGCAAAGATGGACATTTATTTTTCTCATTTTCTTATATTATGTGAGACTTACTAAATCTTCATTACTAATTTTATAAATAAATATATTATTAAATAAAAAAGAGAATTATTCCTATTTTTTTTTCTTTTTCTTTTAATGTAAAGTAAACATACCCTTAAATTACAATCCGATAAGAATTTCTCCCATATTTATGGGAATAGAGGAATATGGATCCTCTTCAATAAAAGATCAAATATTAAAAACATAATGACGAGTATGTCCTTGGTTGGCGCTTGCTAGTTGCTATCTCATTTTGTCCACTTCACAACTTGTGAATAACAGAAAAGTATAAGGTCAAACACGTAATAATAATACTGCAAGGAAAAAACCGCCACGTAGAACAAGTCAAAAACAAACATCCTTCCTTCCGCCAAACAAAATACGAAGAATAAAAATTTAAACCCCAAAATATTAGGAAGATCATTTTCATAAACACTGTCTTATTCATTTTATAACTTAAATTATATTATTATAGTATTTTTTTTACCCAGAGAATTTAAATCATAATTTTAATTATGTAAAATATTATATATCGTTTTAATATTTTAATAAGAAAAGTGCTTTATTATCTGATAAGTCAACATATTAATAAGTTAAATTTTGTGTTCATTAAATTTACATAAAATAACATAAAAATTAAAAAATATAAAAATTTAATAATTAAAAAAATCCAAGAATATAATATGTGTGTAAAAAAAATCCTATAATGCATAATCGAATTCGAAGTAGACAAACAATCTTTTGCCACAGTACTCTTTTTCATTTATTTTTTAATTATTTTTTTAAAATGGTCAAAAAATAGAAAACAGAATAAAATAAAACGAACAAATAAAAAGCGAGGTAAGTGAAAGTGTGGAACTGGTGCCTATCTCCTCCGTTTTGTTTTTTCACATCAGATCGCCGATCCGATTCGAAACCCTAACCAGGTTCATGTTTTGCTATTCTCTCCTTCTTCGTAATCCATTTCTGATTATTTCTCATTTCTAATTTGTATTTTATTACGCTCGACAAATAATAAATATTCGTTGCTTAAATTCCAGATTTCATTTATGTTCATATGTTTCGCTTATTTCCTATTTCCTTCTTATTTGTTTTCGATTTTTCACATCTGCTCTTGATATTATTTTCTTTTTTTTTTTCCGCTTCGTTTGCGCTTTATCGGTGTGCGTTCTTCGCAGGTGAAATGGGATTTGCTTTCGGATTTATGATATTATTATTTTGTAAATTAATTGACAGCTTAGTATTAATCAACAGTAATAATCTCGCAAAAAACGAATCTTGAATTGAAAAACATTTATCTGTGCTTCATTAATATTTTTTTTTTGTTTTTGTCCTGATGCTTTTCTCTGCAATACGTTACCAGTTACATATTTATTTTTTATTTAATATATATTTTAAAAAATTTCAGTGATCGGATTAGCTTTGTGAAGAATACAAAGAAAGATGTGGGGGATATTGAGGCAAAAAGTCGGCGCTGGAAGCTCCTCTGCTCTGGTATTATTTCTTTGATTTTCGCTTTTAACAAAACTATAATTCCTTTTGTAATTTTTGTTGGTATTTATTTGATATTTATTCTTATAAAAAAAATGTTTGTTTTTCTCCTTACAGTCCTTGCAGAGGATTCGCCCTGTGGCGTCCGCTTTGAGGCATTATTCTTCTGCTGCAAAAGAGGTAATCTTGGCTTACTAATATATCTTCAGCGTATTCATATAAATTATGGGCATTGCCTATGTAAATGGGGTTTTTCTTTTTTTGGTTAATGGTTATAAATCTGTATTATACTGTCTTATTCGTACTATTTAGCATTGCAATTTTCCTTGTGTATGAGTATTTCTACTATCTTCTTCTAGACCAAAAAAATAGTGGGTATTGTTTTTCTTGGTGTTTCAAAGAACAAATACTGGAACATAAGTTTTGTTGAAATTGTAATTATGGGCAGATGACAGTCAGAGAGGCTCTAAACTCTGCACTTGATGAGGAAATGTCTGCTGATCCTAAAGTCTTCTTGATGGGTGAAGAGGTGGGGTATCGTCAATTTGTTTTCCTAAGCTCGGTAGATCTTCGCCCATTCTGTTCTTATGTTCTCTTTTGTATTTTTGTGCGTGCAGGTTGGTGAATATCAAGGTGCATACAAGGTTAGATTTTCTTTCTAATGAGATGGATTTGTGAATTTTTATTGTCATCAAAGACACCCTTGGGAACTTAAAACGTTTGTCTGATAATGCAATTTCAATTTTTGTGTAGATCTCTAAAGGTCTTCTGGACAAATATGGCCCTGAAAGGGTTCTTGATACTCCGATCACAGAGGTAACTTTTTTTCCTTGACATACCATTATTACTTATGTTATTTTCAATTTGCTTTGTTACTTTAGTTGTTATTCAAGTGTATGTATATAAGGTTATTTCTCTTTGTCATTGAATTTATTCATATAAGGCTGTTTCTCTTTATTTGCTTTAATAGCAGCATCTGGGTGAACGGTGACCTAATTTTTGGTCTGTGCTATGCAGGCTGGGTTTACTGGGATAGGAGTTGGAGCTGCTTACTATGGTTTGAAGCCTGTTGTAGAGTTTATGACGTTCAATTTCTCAATGCAGGTGCAATTAGTTTTTCTTGAAGATACATTCTTTAGATGCATTATAGTTTCTAATCTGTCATTAAATGGGAGATATATGATGCTGAATGATGGTTTTTAAGCTTTCAGAAGAAAAGGTTCTGGACTTTTATAGGATTCTGTATTTATAGTTGTTAATATTACCGTTGTCAGAAATCTGAGTCTGGGTTTTTCTGCAGGCAATTGACCACATCATTAATTCTGCTGCAAAATCAAACTATATGTCTGCTGGCCAGATATCCGTGCCCATCGTTTTCAGAGGACCAAATGGGGCTGCTGCTGGTGTTGGTGCTCAGCACTCTCATGTATGTCAAGTCAAATCAGGCCATTCTCTTCGTATATGGCCAACAACAATGCATCTTTCGACTTTTGCATATTATATTGCAATTTCCAATAATCTATTTCCTATGTAGTGTTATGCATCATGGTATGCCTCATGTCCTGGATTGAAAGTGCTTGCTCCTTATTCATCTGAAGATACTCGCGGATTGCTGAAAGCTGCCATAAGAGACCCTGATCCTGTTGTTTTCCTTGAGAATGAGTTGTTGTAAGTGATTAATTTAAGGTGACTGTAATTTTAGCTTGTGCTTTCTCATGCCAAACATTATTGGTTATTTTAATTTTTGTGCTTCAGGTACGGTGAATCATTTCCTGTTTCAGCTGAAGCTCTTGATTCTAGTTTTTGCCTTCCAATAGGGAAAGCTAAGGTGATTAATTAGGCTAATGAAATAATGTGCAGAATGATTGTTGCTTCATTTAACTCCTGTACAACCACTGTTCCATGAATATGACATCTGGTGTTTGTTTTAAAAATATTTTATTGCCACAGATTGAGAGAGAAGGAAAAGACGTGACTATTACTGCTTTTTCAAAAATGGTGGGCTATGCTCTCAAGGTTTGTCTGTCGCACCTCCTTCAACTGTCTTTGATGTTGTATAAGTTAATGAGGATTTTGGTGAAGAGAATTCTTATTAACCAAAGGAAATACAGCCCTAATATTTATACTTGAGTGGCCGGCATCCCAGTCCACTTATTCTAGGAAAGTAAACGGAGAATCCCATAAAATCAGGAATCTCAACAAACTAGGAAAGTAACTAAATTATGAATCAATCAAATCAATAACTGATCCTATTTATTAGGAAACTAAATCAGAAATCCTAATATACAAACTAACACTATCCTAATTTATATAATCTAATCGGCTCCTTTCTACACTCCCCCTCAAGCTGGGTTGTATATGTTATACAATCCTAGCTTGGAGTTGAATTCATCGAAACTTCTTCTTGGAAGGGCTTTGGTGAGAACGTCAGTCAGCTGCAATTGTGTAGGGATGTAGCTGAGTTGAACTATTCCATTGTTAATCTTCTCTGAGATGAAGTGCCTATCAATTTCCACATGCTTGGTCCTGTCGTGGTGTACTGGATTTTTAGCAATGCTGATGGCGGCTTGGCTGTCACTAAGCATTTTAATCTGGTCCTTACAATCAATTCTCAACTCCCTTAGTAATCGTTGAAGCCACATTCCTTCGCAGATGCCCAAAGCAAGAGCACGATATTCTGACTCTGCACTGCTTCTTGACACCACTGATTGCTTTTTGCTTCTCCATGTAACAAGATTGCCCCAAACAAAAGAGCAGTAACCACTTGTGGATCTCCTTTCAGTTAGTTCTCCAGCCCAGCTAGCATCTGTGTAAACCTCTATCTTACGGCTTTCACACCTTTTGAAGAGTAAACCGTGGCCTGGTGTCATCTTTAGGTATCTAAGAATTCGATTCACAGCCTCTAAGTGTTCCTCATTCGGATTGTTCATGTGTTGGCTAACTACGCTCACTGAGAATGCAATGTCTGGTCTCATGTGTGAGAGATAAATCAACTTTCCCACTAGCCTTTGATACTGTCCTTTATCCACTGGAACACTTTCCTCATCTTTCCTTAACTTCAGGTTGGGGTCCATAGGCATCTCTGCAGGTTTACACCCAAGCATGTCAGTCTCCGTTAGCAAATCTAAGATGTACTTTCGTTGGGATATAACAATCCCTGCCTTAGACCGAGCAACCCCCATGCCTAGAAAATATCTTAGAGTACCAAGGTCTTTAATTTCAAATTCAGTAGCAAGTAGGCTTTTGAGTTTGATAATTTCCTCTGAGTCGTCTCCTGTTAAAATGATGTCATCAACGTAAACGATGAGAATAGCAATCCTGCCTCTTGGTGAGAATTTCATAAATAGAGTGTGATCGGCCTGGCATTGACTGTACCCATTTGTGACCACTGTTTTGGAAAACCTATCAAACCAGGCACGAGGTGACTGCTTTAGGCCATATAATGACTTTTTCAGCTTGCACACTTGACGGCTGTTTGAAGGGTTTTCTAGGCCTGGTGGTATTTCCATGTAAACATCCTCTGCAAGATCCCCGTTTAGAAAAGCATTCTTGACATCTAGCTGGTGCAAAGGCCAGTCTTTATTTACTGCTAGTGACAACAATACCCGAACTGTGTTCAACTTGGCAACAGGTGCGAACGTTTCCTGATAATCAATTCCATATGATTGAGTGAATCCCTTTGCGACCAGCTTGGCTTTGAACCTCTCAATACTTCCATCTGCTTTATACTTAACAGTAAATATCCACTTGCAACCCATAGGTTTCTTCCCTTGAGGTAACTCTGCAAGAGTCCAGGTTTCATTGCTTTTTAGGGCTCTGATTTCTTCCTCGACAGCCTGCTTCCATGCTGGATCTTTCAAAGCTTCCTGAATGGAATTAGGAATCTGTGCACTATGAAGAGCTGAAATAAATGCTTTATATGCTGGCTGTAATTTTCCATATGCCACATATCTCCCAATAGGGTGGTTTGTACATACTCGGACACCCTTTCTTTCAACAATAGGCAAGTCTGAATCATCAATAAAAGGAACATGAGGCTCACGGGTTGAAGAATCCATACCTTTGTGAGATTCTGAAGCAGGAGGGTCCGGTTCAGGTTCTTGACAGTCTCTGACTTGAGTGATGTTCTCTAAGTGCTCAGTAGGTCGTCTCCTAGAATAGACACGGAGTTCCTGACAATTTGTACCAAGTTGAGGTTGGGTGGACTCGGTTAGATCATTCTGAGTGGTGTGATTCAGGACGTTGGATGGCTCATGGAACTGAGACTCGGATAGTGGACCTGATGTGGATCTGAGACTCGGATTTGAGGACTCGGAAGGGGAGCTGAGACTTGGATTTGGGGACTCAGAAGAGGGTAAGGAGGCTGGATTGACACTTTGGGGTGAAATGTACACGGATTGAGTGTCTTGAAGGATGTCCCAAAGCTGAAATTCCCTCGAATTCTCCCCCTGAATAGCAGGTTTGGGAAAATAAGATTGGTGTTCAAAGAACGTGACATCCATTGAATTGTATGTCTTTCTAGTGACAGGTGAGTAGCACTTGTACCCCTTTTGATGAGAGGAATATCCTAGGAAAATGCATTTTAATGATTTGGGATCAAGTTTGGTTCGATGTTGTTGGTGTATGTGAACAAATGAGGAACAACCAAAGATTCTAAGTGGGAGATCGGAAGAAAAGGAGATCGGAAGAAAAGGATTTGGCATGAGGAAAGGCTTGTAGTAGTAGGACTTGGCGGGGTCTCTGAAATTGTAGCACTCGACTTGGCATCCTATTGATAAGATATGTGGCAGTAAGAATGGCTTCCCCCCAAAAGTGTTTAGGTACATGGTTGGTGAACATGAGTGATCTAGCTACCTCAAGTAAGTGTCTGTTTTTCCTCTCGGCTACCCCATTTTGTTGAGGGGTGTCAACACAAGAACTCACATGGATAATTCCTTGTTCCAAGAGATAGGAACCCAAAACTGATGTAAAGTATTCCCTGCCATTATCGGTCTTAAGAACCTGAATTTTGCTTTTGAATTGGGTGTGAATCATAGAATAAAAGGACTTGAAGATTTCCCCTGTTTCAGATTTTTTCTTTCATTAAAATGTCCAGGCGGTTCTAGTATGATCATCTATGAAGGATATGAACCAACGAGCCCCATTAATATTTTTCACTCGTGAGGGTCCCCAAATGTCACTATGAATTATGGAGAATGGATTTGAAGGCTTATATTGAATACTAGGATAGACATGCCGAGTGTGCTTTGCAAGTTGACATATTTCACAATGGAAAAGTTTGGAATTTTTATTGATGAATAAATGAGGGAACAATTTTTCAAGGTACACAAAATTTGGATGACCAAGGCGAAAGTGCCATAACATAACTTGATTGTCATTTGACACAGAAACAGAATTGGAAATAGACTCAGAAAAACAACTTGAATGAACTTGTCCATGTGGAGGAGGATTCCCTTTGAGCAAGTAGAGACCACCACACATTTCAGCACTGCCAATCACCTTCCCCGAATCCGCTGCCTGAAATTCACAAAGATTTGGATAGAATTTAGTCACACAGTTCAAATCACGGGTGAGTTTACTAATAGAAATCAGATTGCAATCTAATTTTGGAACATAAAGGACAGATGAGAGAAGGAGATCCTTTGTCAATTTTATGGATCCGATTCCTGCCACGTTTGAATGTGATCCATCGGCTATTCGTACTGTGCTAGGACTAGAATAGGCACTGAACTTGTGGAAGACGTTAATATCTCCAGTCATGTGATCCGAAGCCCCAGAATCAATTATCCATGGTCTTAATTTCCTGGTTTTCGCAATATGAGCAAAGGAAACTGTACCTTGATGTGCTACCATGCTGGTATGCGGTTCAACAATGGGTGATGTGGACTGAGAAGGACCTGATACCTGTCCGAGTAGCTTCTGCAGTACCTCAATCTGCTCCCTGGTGAACGGACTGGTTTCAGGAGTGGTGCTGGGGTTGTCTGAAGTGGTGACAGCATTTGCGCGGCTGTCCCGGTCCTGGCGAGCACGGTTAGGCTTCCAATCAGCGGGCTTCCCATGTATTTTCCAGCAATTTTCTCTGGTGTGGCCAGGCTTCTTGTAATGGTCGCACCATGGTCTTCCTCTTCTATGCCTGTTATCCTGAGATGAGTTGTGTGTGTATAAGGCCGAACCTTCAGCAACCGGGGTGCTCATATTTTCTGTCATCATTAGTTTCTTCCTGCTTTCTTCTCTTCTGACTTCAGCAAATGCCTCTCGGATGGAAGGCAGTGGCCTGCTTCCCATGATTCTCCCCCTTACTTCGTCCAGATCCTTGTTGAGACCAAGGAGAAATTTGAATGTTCTCTTTTGATCAACAATCTTTTTGTATAAAGCTGCATCATCAGGACATTTCTAGGGATATATTTCAAACATATCAAGGTGCTGCCAGTACCGGGTTATTGTGTTGAAATACTGAGTGATTGTCATCTCCCCTTGTCGCATATCATGAAGTCGAGTTTCAATTTCAAAAAGTTCTAAGGTATTTTCAGAATTGGAGTAGGTTTCACGTGCCGCATCCCAAATTTCCTTGGCTGTTTTGTAGAGAAGGAAATTCTCTCCAACTTCGGTGGTCATGGAGTTTATTAGCCATGACATAACCATGTGATTTTCTGTTTTCTACGTCCGATACTTGGGATCTGTTGCCGCTGGAATAGGGACCTCACCGGTGAGATACTCATCTTTTCCTCTGCCAGATACATATATGAGGACGGATTGTGACCACTGAAGGAAATTGTGGCCACTGAGTTTGTGACTGGGAACAGGAAGAGGTGAGTTTTCGATGATATTGGCTGAGGGATTATCAGCGTTGATGGCTGGAGAATTTTGCTCGGGTCTTGACTGGACTTCTGAGGAACTGGTTTGGGTATTCATGCCGTATTTGGTCATGATGAGAGATTGATGATAGGGTGGATTAGGGTTTTGAATTCGGCTCTGATACCATGAGGATATTGGTGAAGAGAATTCTTATTAACCAAAGGAAATACAGCCCTAATATTTATACTTGAGTGGCCGGCATCCCAGTCCACTTATTCTAGGAAAGTAAACGGAGAATCCCATAAAATCAGGAATCTCAACAAACTAGGAAAGTAACTAAATTATGAATCAATCAAATCAATAACTGATCCTATTTATTAGGAAACTGAATCAGAAATCCTAATATGCAAAATAACACTATCCTAATTTATATAATCTAATCGGCTCCTTTCTACAGTTAATAAACTTTCATGAACCAGAAGGCCCAGATTTGAGTTGGTGCCATCTCCTTTGAATTTTGCATGGAAACTGAATGTCTGTCTAATATTTCTTTTTCTTCCAAAGGAGTTAATTAGGTAAATGTCCATTCGATATACTACTTTCTTGAAAGTGGCATGAAGGAAAGTTTTGTTATGGCATTTAAAATTAATGAGATTTCTAATTTACTTTGGCAATTGGGCTCCATTGCATTGGCCCTTTCATGGAGTGTGGATGCAAGCTGTGATAGGATTTTTGTTGAAAATTATGTGTGAAAATTATGTGTCGTTCTTTTCATTGTTTGACTTTGACAGCTTTAGTAAGTTTTCTTTTTCTGCTTCACTTGGAGTAATTCTATGGTTTGATGTTCAGGCTGCCGAGATACTTGAAAAGGAAGGAATCAGCACTGAGGTAAATTATTGTTCAAAGAACATGAAACTCTTCACATTGTCCACGTAATAGGTTTAGATCCAGCAATGACTGTTGATATCTATGTAGGTAATTAACTTGCGGTCAATTCGGCCACTAGATAGATCCACAATCAACGCTTCAGTCAGGAAAACCAACAGACTGGTAACAGTTGAAGAAGGATTTCCTCAGCATGGTGTCGGTGCTGAAATCTGGTTTGCAACTATCCTCTATATTGCATTGTTTAATTTGCATTTTGCGCACACTATTTATGCTTACGCCATTTACTTCTCTTTTAAACAGCGCATCTGTTGTTGAGGATAGCTTTGGCTATCTTGATGCACCAGTTGAAAGAATTACGGGTGCTGATATTCCCATGCCTTATGCAGCTAACTTGGAGAGGATGGCTGTCCCTCAGGTCTGTTTACTACGATACTTCCATTGGATGTGTTAGGTGGTGCCATTTGTATCAGTCTTCTTGGGATCAGTTGATTAATAAATTTGTTTTCATTTTGGTAATTGTCTTTGCTTTTCATGTGTAATTGATTGCACAGGTTGAAGATATAGTTCGCGCAGCAAAGAGAGCATGCTACAGAGCTGTGCCTGTGGCTGCGACTGCTTAGTTTTCGTCAACTTCATCCACAAATCATCTCCCTGCCCCCGGTAAGGACCGGTCAATATTTCATGAAATAGGTAGTTATTACCACGTATATTTATTCACTAGTCGGTTTTCTAAAATGATCAAAATCTAATTCATTAGACAGAGAGCAAGGTAAGAAAAATAGGTGGAGGATTTGGGTTCACGGTTCATATGGCAGTAGGTTTGCTTAGTTGAACGAGTTTCTAATGGACATTGATAATTGTTAATCGTTTCAGGTGATGGACTGTATATTATTTCTCTTCACATCATGTTACGGTGAGGAAACATGGTTGTCAAATAACTTGGAGAACTTTGACAGTTGCGAGAAAAAAATTTTGTGGCTCTCTTTTGTTCGTTTATATTTTGGCAGTCAACATGAGACTGTTCTACTCAGGCAGCGATTTTCAAAAAAAAAAAAAAAAAAAAAAAAACCTTTGATTCTCCAACACAAAGGCTTTCGGGAAGGTCTTCAAATGCTGTTTTTGGTGATTGGCTTCCGATGAATTTTTTGTTCTTAATGGTGACTCAATTGAGACATCCACATTCCTGATTTATGTACCGTGCATCTCCAATCTAAGGTTTGTTATAACTAATTCATAATAAGAGGAATAAATGATTGACAACAAATACACAGGCATTTCAATTTTTGACAATATAGCAATCTGAGAAGTTCATTCCAATTATGACCACCCATAAAAAAGTTGATCAAATTAGCTATCAATTTTTTATTTTATTTTTTTATTTTCACGAACTGTATATTTGTGTCGTCAATTTCCGAATTGTGTGGGCGTGTGTTGTTGTTGTTGTTATTATCATCATCATCATCATCATATGCCTCTTAAATTTTAAAGTCATTTACGGTTTACCTTCTGAATTTTAAGAACTCTTATTTTACCCATTAAATTTTAAATTATTCTCGCTTGATCTCTTATGTTATAACAGATAAAAAAAGAGACTAATACAGTCACGTGATTTTTTTATTTGAATTTTTGTTAAAACAAATAAGTAGAAACTATATGACCACATTTAATTCTTTCTTTTTCTGTTTGATTTCATCAAAATTTTTTACAAAAGGGTTTAAATGGGATAAATTTAAATTTTAGGGGGTAAAGTGAGTTTTTAAAGTTTAGAGGACAATGTGAGAATGACTTTGAAATTTTGGGATATTAGTGAGATTAATCTTTATTATTATTTTAATTATAAGATTTATGAATCATGATGTTGTTGTTTTGAAGGCCACGCGCAGAGGGTTTGGTTAACATTTTATTTTGAAAAAGAGACAAATATTTTTAGAATGTGTGAGTCTAAATATTTATTTTAGTTAAATAATTTATTAATAAAAAATGTATTAATGAAGATATAAATTAACTCAGTAACTTCAACAATTTTCTTTCTTATTATGATAAAAGAGCCAAAATTGGATTATGATGCTGTTTGTTTTGAAGGCCACGGGCACAAGCGACGTTTGCTGTGTTTTTGGTAATGGGAGCTGCGTAGCCCACTTCTTAGCAACCTTATGCTATTTCTAATTTTGTTGAATTCACGTGGGTAATCCGTAATTTTAATAGTTGATGGCGTGAGTTCGTTTGGTTGGAAGATTCGTTCCCTGATTCGAATCATGGTTCATAGTTCGCTACAGTATTTTTTCTCACAAAAAACACATAAATAAAAAATAGTTCTAATCCATGAACCAAACGGGCTCTAAATTATCTTACAACCACGTTAAACAGCCAAGCCTTTGTCCAAAGCGGATTAATGAATAAATGACTTGAGAGCCGGTTCTTTTTTCATACATTATATAACGTCTCTATTGGTGTTGACTCTATTATTGTATTTACTATTCCGGAGAAAGATTTTTATAGCAATGTAATTTACAAATCAACCCCCATTATTAATGCATTAGGTTATTTTTATCGTTATATTTGCATCAATTTTTATTTAAATTTACATATTTACATATCTTTTACTGGTACAATTTAATACGCAATAAACAAGGATTAGGGCTAGGAGCCAAGCATTTTTTATTTGTAAAACCTAGCAGTTGGAGAAATTGTAAATAATTTAGATGGAGGTTTCATAGGAACATGCATCTGAACTTACAAAAGACGCATCACGGCAACTGCTTGACAAAACACAAAAGCATTTACTCGAAAGGGAGGAGAGAAGACTTGGTTCAAAAGAAACACGCTTTCTTGACCAAAAAAATTGTCTAATATACCTCTTTTTCCCACACTTTATTTTCTTGTGGTCTTTCTTGGATTGCCATTTTCATTTTTTTTTAATTATATTCCTAATTGTCGTGGGTCATAGGGGGCTTTGACGCCCTCTATCTGGGAAACATTCTTTAAAAAAAAAAAAAAAAAAAAAACCAAAATCAAAACACAACAATATTTGATAGTTGGAAAAATGCCAAAGAAGTAATAAATTTGAACTTTACATCTTTAACCACCATTTGTACTTGAAGTCGGGTTGGGCGTGGATTGTTCGTTAGATTATACTTTTAACGGCCATTTGATTATTGGTAACCTAGTTATTGACACTTGATTATGTAGACGATTACATCAAATGTTAGATTCTTGTATATTTCTCTCTAGTTTTTATATCAATAGAACACTTTGAATTGCCAATTAATGCATACCAAATATAAAATTTCACAAGAGGTTGACCTATTATTGCCTTGTGTTGTAGACGACTATTTGAATGTAGCTTTCCATCATCTCTACTACACAATTTTTTAATTATCATATATATTTTTCTTTAATTTGATAAAGTTGTCGGTCGTTGACCATAGGGGAGAAAATTACTTCAACTTTACTTTTTTTGTAGAAAATTACTTTAATTTAATTTTTCTTGGTAAGAACTATAATTTAATTTTCAGCAAAAAAATATAATTTAATTGATAATATGTAGTTTTATAGTTATTATCATTATTGTAATTTATTATGTAGTTATGCAGCGGCTACGGCTACCGCAGAGGGAGCTTTGTCCTGTGGAAGAGTCAACGGGGATGTGGTCAATTGTACTAATTTTTCGCATAAGTATTGTATTATTTAAAAAGAGGAAAAAGAAAAAAACAAAAAGAGGATTTTTTTTTTGGTTGGAAAACAAAAAGAGAAAATGATTAAAGGAAAAGTTTAGTATAAAAAGTGAACGATACGTTTGCATCATTTCCCGCAAAAAAATTACCATTATTATGCAAGCATTATATATTACCCTAAATATTATTATTATTCTCTGAAAAGTACTAATACTAGTATTAATATATTATTATGACGTGACCAAAGAATGAAGTTGAAGAAGAAGAAGAAATAGTTTTTAAAGTGTTTCATATGTGCTCTTTTGCTTTCGGCTTTCCATTTTCAGATATTCTTCTTCTTCTTCTTTCTCATCGTTAAGGTTTCTGATTTCAAAAATCGAATTGGCAAACGAGATTTTTTTTCCCCGTAAGGAAAAGGCGAATTCGTTGAATATAGAGGCTTCGATTCCTCTGAATTGATTTTTTTTTTTTTTTTGGTTTGGTATTGGTATTGGATCGTTGAAAAGGAAGCAAAATGAAGACGTCGCTGAGAAAGTTGCGAGGATTCACACTTCACAAACAAGGAGGGGCTAAGGACCGGAAAGATCTCCGGCCTCTGGCTCAATTGGACGAGCTCGCTCAGGCATATCGGGTGTGCTTTTGTTCTTCTTCTTGTTTGTTTCGCCTTCTGTTTGTTTGGTTGCCGAGAAACTATCGGATTAGAAGGGAAAGGAATGAGAGAAAAAAAGAAAGAATTCGGAACTTTAGATTTTAAAGCCTTCATTTTGCGTTTATAGGAAGATATTGGAAATGAATGAAAAAAAAAGAAGTTTTTTTTTGTTTTTTGTTTTTTGTTTTTTAATTTTATAGCGCTCATTTGCTTTTATTTTGACAATTTTAAGTTTTTCTTTTTCGTTCAATCTTAGTACAGAGCTCGAATGTTTCTTGCAGCAACAGGACGTCCAGAATTAGAAACCTAGGGCTTTGACAATATAAGAAACTTCTGTTTTAGTTTATCTCTTAATTGATTTTTTATTTTTCATTTTTTTTTGGGGTTAAGAACTATAGTATCATAAAGATTGAAACTTTGACGTTGACGGACCGTGTGAGCTAAAATTGTGTTTGCATTGCCAAAAACTGTGTGTTTCTGTTGAAGTTGGGTGAATGGTATTGTGTTTTTTGGACATGATTTGCCAAGAAATTTATTTAATTTATGTGGTCTTGTTCTTGAAGGACATGCAAGATATGAGAGATTGCTACGATGGCTTACTTGCCTCGGCTGCGGCCACTGCGAATAGCGCTTACGGTATGTTAGTGTCCTTTTCTTTGTTCTTCTTTTCTTCCTCTTCATTTTCTGGAATGTCTGTTGTAATTTGGTATTGAAGTGAAGTGATGTGGTTGTCCTGATGAAAGCCTTCTTAAGTAGTAGCATTATGATTCAATGTTTCATTTTCTATGAAATCAATGTAGTTTTAGATAATTTGTCTACTCCATTTAACAACATCTTTTGACTTTCCTATATTCATCATTATTCTCACATCTTACCCTTTATTTTCAGAGTTCTCAGAATCATTGAGGGAAATGGGTGCTTGTCTTCTTGAGAAAACTGCACTGAACGATGACGAGGAAAGTGGTAAAGTCATCGACGCAAAATTATGTTTTACTTCTAAGTTCTAACTTTCTTCTTTAGTAACTGCTTTCCTGAAAAGTTTCCGTCATAAGATTGAACGGTAACAGGTCCGTTAACTGAAGATCAAATATTCTCACTTATTATTTAAGAGAATGTCTAAGCTTTTTGTATCTGCGCATACAAATTTTACAGCACTATGCAAAATTCAGATATTGTTCTAGGTGTTTGTACCCATAGTTCTATATGGGAACTGTAATCATATCTCATATCTGAAATGCAGTTGATTTTCAAGGAACTAATTTTGTCTTTATATCTCAAATGCAGTTGATTTTTTAAGGATTTAATTCCTTTTAAGGGTTTGCTTCTTTATATTATTACATTAGTTTTGTATAAAGAGCAATTTATTTGGTCTTTTGTCAGCATCATACAAAATTACTGTTTGTCCCCATCTAATTCTTTTTAAAATGCTTACTTGTTGCTCCTCTCGCTCTTTTACACACAGTCCCAGACAAGAGTACACACTTAACAAACATAAATGCCAGGAAAATGCATGAATTCCACCAATTTGGTTCGGAAGAATTTTTCTTTGATTGGCCTCCAATGTTGGGAAAAATCATAGTTTTCTTTTCTTCTATTCTAATACAGGAAAGGTTCTGCTAATGCTAGGGAAAGCGCAATATGAAATCCAAAAAATTGTTGATAGCTATGTGAGGGCCTACTTTTGTGTCATTTTCGAGATTCTTACTTGAGTTTCTCCTTGTAGTATGTTTATTCATTTCTTTGCGTGTTGCAGCGTTCTCATATATTCCAGACCATCACAGTCCCTTCAGAATCTCTTCTTAATGAACTACGGACAGTTGAGGTATGTCTCATTGATTTGAATACATATGCAAGTTTGTAACGTCCATTATCCCCTTTTTGTTGCTTTCCTCGTGTGAACAAGTGTTGTCCTTGTGTGAACAAGTGTTGTATTATTGTCTGCAAGTTGCCATTGGAGTACTTTATAATACTTTCTGTATTATTGATGCAGGAGATGAAGCGGCAATGTGATGAAAAGAGGTTAATCATGTGTTTTTCATTCAAACACATTCATGCACAGACGCACACAAAGACACTTTTGTTTTAATGTATGTCTATTATTGAATTGTCTACAGAGATGTATACGAGTATATTAAATCTAGACAGAGAGAAAAGGGGAGGTCAAGAAGCGGAAAAGGAGAGAGCTTTACTGTGCAGCAATTACAAATGGCTCGTGATGAATATGATGAGGAGGCAACATTATTCGTTTTCCGCTTGAAATCTTTGAAACAAGGACAATCTAGAAGTCTTCTTACGCAGGCAGCTCGTCACCATGCTGCTCAGGTATTCTTTTTCTCAATCATATATTTCCTCAACATTTATTTATTCTTTGACTTGGCTAATGAGGGTTTTGCACTGTTTTCTGTTCAAACCAGTTGTGCTTCTTCAAGAAGGCACTCAGGTCTCTTGAGGCAGTAGAGCCACATGTGAAACTGGTGTCTGAACAGCAGCATATTGACTACCATTTTGATGGTCTCGAAGAAGATGATCCATATGATGATGATGACGATGATGATAATGATTATGATGATGATAGCTATGATTCAAATGACGATGGTGAACTGAGCTTCGACTATGGACAAAATGAGCAGCAACAAGATGTTTCTACGTCACAAAACTCAATGGAGGTTGCCAAATTAGATTGTTCCACTTTTAGTTTAGAAATACTGACAGCTTAGTTCCCTGTTCGAGATGCTTTTACCAGTCAACAAAAAATAATCTAGGAACCGATTTTACAGACTGGCATTCTGGAATAAATTTGTCCTGATATACATATCTTACACACAAACACAAACACAAACACATGCACTCACGTACGCTTACATACATGTCTTATGCATTGTCATGCACGCCCGTACACTCACATCAAATAGTGGCATGAAGTCTTTTATGAGTCTGAGAATCTTTATTTCATACATTTTGCTGCAAGAGGCACCTGTGTGTCGTATAATTTTGCAAAACATGGAGCATAATTTTGCTATATATGTGAAGCAACAAAAACAAAAACTTGTTGACGTATGAAAAGGGAGAAATAATCGGATATACTGCTGAGTGTATGATATAGATCAGAATTAGACGGACGAGGGAGAGAATATTTTTGACATAGGATGGCCTTTATGTTAGTATTTTTTTTTAACGTCAAAAAAGTTATTCTGAATTTTAGCTAACCATATATTTTTTAATACAGTTGGATCAAGTGGACCTTACTTTTCCAAAGGTTGTAAAGGTGGAAGATCCCAAGGTAAAAGGATCACTCTGCTACAACTACAAGTTCATTATAAAATGTTTGAAGGCCTCTCTGTGTTGTGCACAAGTGGATCATAGAGGTCTATAAGTCAATCGAATTTACGATTTGGATTTATCTAATATGGATTACTTAAAAATAGAACTTGGTATACTGATTGCTCATTTACTATAAGTCAATTGAATTTGATGATTTGATTTATCTAATATGGAGTACTTAGACATACATTTCCTAAAACATAGAACTTGGGATATCTTGCCAAGTCTGCTTCTAGAGCCTGTACAGCTAATAAAATTTCTACGTGAAAATTTTGAAATTTTATCTTTGAGACTAGAAAATTGTAGCGTTTTAACTCAAAAGTTATTGTCATCTTGCAGAATAATTTTGTTAGACTCCACAGAAGTTATTTTTCTTTTAGGGGTAGGCCAGGCAGCCAATCCGCTCCGCTCTTTGCTGAGAATAAAGTAGATCCTGCTG